CACACACACACACACACACACACACACACACACACACACACACACACACACACAGTGAGAGACTAAACTTTAATTAGACATCAGTTTCCAGATACAGAGCGAATCTCGGTGGGGAGTCTTGAATCTCGGTGTCTCTGAAGTGCTGCTTTATCTACCCGCTCGTCCTTTGCTCTTTTCCTTCCTGTTCTGTTCTGCACTTATCTCTTATATTTGCTCCTCTATCACTCCTCTCCTCCGCTTCTCAGTCAAATACTGCTAGAGGTGCTCCTCCCTCCCTCTCTTACTCTGCTCGCTACATCTATTCCTCCTGCTCTCAGTACTATCTCTGTCTCTCTCTCTCTCTCCTGTCTCTCTCTCTCTGTCTCTCTCTCTCTCTCTCTCTCTGTATCTGTCTCTACCCCCTCCCTCTCTCCCTCTCTCCCTGAATCAGACACTTTAACAGATGCGCCGAGCACAGTTGCTTCTCTCTCGTTCTTGCGCTTGCTCTCGCACTGCCCCACTTGCAGACTTTCGCAGGTGGGGGAGGAAAAAATGGCAGGTCCAACTACCAGAAACAAACAATCAAACGGATAAAGCCTGGGCAACTGGAATAAGAGAAAGCAAAACACGGATGGGAACTGCTAAAAATAACTGCCACGCCAGAGACTGCCTTGATAGCATCCATCATGTCTCTTTTCTTTTTTCTATGCTCTTTCAGGATACCTGTTCTGACCCACAGGATTAAAAATGACTTAAAATTCAATCAACGGCCGAGGAGAGAGACGGAGGGATGAAAAAAGAGGGGGTTTGTCCTCTGAACAGATTCAGCAGCATACAGCTGGTGAGAGCAAGAGCAAGGGATCGTTAGACAGAGAGAGAGAAAGAGAGAGAGAGCGCAAGAGATAGAGAGAGAGAGAGAGAGAGAGAGAGAGAGAGAGAAGGTCTCTTCTCTTTTAAAGGAAGTGACTCGACTGACTTTGCTGTCTCTCAGGACTATTCTTCAGTCAAGGTTCAACGTGTTCAGTAAACAGGTTAGTGTGTGTGTGTGTGTGTGTGTGTGTGTGTGTGTGTGTGCGCGTGCATGTGTGTGATCAATTGAAGAGCGAATGTCAATGATGTTGAAAGAGGAGATGAGAGGAGAGGAGAATAGAAGAGAGTAGAGAGGAGGAGACGAGTGAAGAGGAGAATAGAAGAGAGGAGAGAGGAGGAGAAGAGTGGAGAGGAGAAGAGAAGAGAGGAGGAGAAGAGTGGAGAGAAGAGAGGGGGGAGAGGAGAAGAAAGGAGAGTAGAGCAGAGGAGAAGCGAGGAGAGGAGAAGAGAGAAGAAAAGAGGAGAGAAGCGAGGAGAGGAGAAGAGAGAAGGGGAGAGGAGAGGAAAAAATACATTATTAAATAAACCTAAAATACATTATTTATCATGAATAAAATGGATTGAGGGATAAATGGGCAGATGATGGGATGGAAGGTGGAATTGTAAACGAATGCAGTCCGGTTGAAAGCTGGTTATTATATTTGCGTGTGTGTGTGTGTGTGTGTGTGTGTGTGTGTATATAATGCTCAACACACATGCAATAATTTCAGTCATATGATTAATGAGCCATACCTGTTTTAAACACATTGTGAATTTACCGGTTTCCCTCTCTGTATTCTTATTATATGTGCGTGCACACACACACACACACACACACACCCTGCTGTCTCTATGGCACTCTGACGGAAGGTTAGCTTGAGATGATTGACAAGTTGGGGAGCACAGAAAACTGCACAGGGTACGAGATTTGGAAGATGTGTTAGTTAGTAAGGAAAGAGAGAGAGAGAGAGAGAGAGAGAGAGAGCAAATGAAAGGAAAGAAGGTAGAGAGACCTAGAGATAGACCGCAAGTTGGAAAGAGACAGAAAACCAGAAAAGCTCTCTGTTGACATTTAAGAAAAAAAGATCGATGTTACTGCTGTTGAATGAGGTGAGACCATGTTGGCCTGACATTAGCACTGAACATACAGGTAAACAGAGAGAGAGAAGAGAGAGAGAGAGAGAGAGAGAGAGAGAGAATAAATGAATAAGTTAATATGGAACTGTCAGTAAGACCTCTTGAATGTATGTACATTGAGAAAGTGAGAGAGAGAGAGAGAGAGAGAGAGAGAGAGAGAGAAATGTAACAGTAGGGGAAACAGTGCTGGTAATGGGGGAAAAAATGCTATGCCCTTTAACAGGTACATATAAACCTCCTGCTACTGAGATCTTTCATTACAAATATCGTTTATCCCCTCCCCCACCCCTCTAGCACTGTTTTATCTTTTCTGTACTTTCTTTGCATCCTTAATTGTTCTCCTTTTCTCATTCTTGTCACAGGGGACATTTTTCTGCTAGAGGACGTTAAAGATCTGCAACTCGGCTTCACTACTGATTTGCACCATAAGACTATGGAGAAACCAAGAAGGAAGATTATGTAAAAAAAATAAAATCTGTTAGCGAGGCAGAAATCAAGAAGGAATGAGTGATATGCACAGGCAGGTTCAAATGAATCGATGACCAGTAGAGGCAGGTGGAGAGAAGAGTGACCGAAGTGCCAGAAAAATATAGTGGAGGAAATAAAGAAGAGAGACAGCAGAGTGAAGAGCAGGGCTTGTGACTGGATGACCCTGAGAGAAAACGTGCTGTGTGTAATGACCCCAGATGAGAGGCTGTTAGCCCGGGAACATTCTAGAAAAACAGTGAATAAAGTGCAACGTGTTTCCCAGCTAGGCTTCCATGGATACATATGTGCATCTGCAGGCCTAACTCCTAATCTAGATCCTGGTGTGTGTGTGTGTGGAGAGGACAGACACTCCGGTCGTGAACCGAGGATACACACCTGAACATGGATATGGGCTCAATCATACAAATATACACACCTACACAAAAGCCTGGAAACACACCCACGACTGCAGACATGAGCTGATTGAGTCCTGCGACCGACACAGACAACCAAGGTAACATGCGGTTTAGAATTTCACCCTAACTTTAAGCACTAAGCCTAATAAATTTATTATTACATCGAGGGAGCAAAATTATGAATATTTTAATAATTTCTTAAGATATTTTCATTCATTTAATAGTTTTTGCTTAATCATCATACCCATCATGTAATGCTGTTGCTATGCTATCTTTCACTATGCTGCTTACTTCCAGATTTAGGGATTCCTATTTGTTTTAGATGTAGTATGTGAAAAAAAATTATGAATGGAAGAGTGTGTGAACATGAATTTGAGCATTTCTGCTGTCTCAGTGTTAATCTGCATGATTGGCTAGTGCAGCAGCAGGCCTAACAGACGTCTAGCTTTCAGGGGATAGACAGTTGGAACCATAATGTACTTTCCTTTACTTTTACACTATACATTGTTACCCAGATGAGGAGGTATTCCCTTCAGAGTTCCTCTCAGGGTTTCTTCCTCTTAACATCTTAGGGAGTTTGTGCTTGCCACCATTGCCACCGGTTTGCTCAATAGGGATAAATTCACACACTTAAAATCTGTATCCTGTGTTTATATGTTTCTGTAAAGATGCTTTGTGACAATGTCCATTGTAAAGCGCTATACCATTAAAATTGAATTGAATTGAATTGAAGATAGCTAGGGCGCATAGTAGCTTAGTGGTTAACACGTTCGCCTCACAGGGTCGGGGTTTGAGTCGGGGTTCGAGTTTGCATGTTCTCCCCGTGCTGCGGGGGTTTCCTCCGGGTTCTCCGGTTTCCTCCCCCAGTCCAAAGACATGCACGGTAGGCTGATTGGCATGTCTAAAGTGTCCGTAATGTATGAATGGGTGTGTGTGTGTGTGTGTGTGTGTGTGTATGTGATTATGCTCTGCGATGGATTGGCACACTGTCCAGGGTGTACCTGTGTACCCGATGATCCCTGTGATAGGCTTCAGGTTCACCGTGACCCTGAAAAGGATAAGCGGTATAGAAGATGGATGGATGGATGGATGGATGAAGATAGCTGGCTAGATGGATTGCTAGATGGATGGATGCCATTTTTTATACACAGAATCAACACACCTAATTACACATGCAGAATTTCTACATACACACAGTGCAAAGATGTCAGTGTACATGCAAGACAAAGTGCAGAAACACAACATCGCAACGTGTGTGTGTTTGTTGGTGTGAAGTTTTGGGTTTAGTGTAAAGGGACACTGACAGCTTTGCAAAAACTTTAAAGATCAAGCGTGCGATGCAGTGCCACTTCCTGTATCTCTATCTGTAACTGCTGAGTGCTTCAAATATTCGTCCCTGTATTTAGATTTAAACCCGAAGTAGGCGTGGCCTAAACCAGAACTTGTCAAATTCAATATGAACACTAGCATTATGCCACTGAAACCCTCAAAAACAATAGAAAAACCCAGGTGTAGAAATGTTAGCAATGTCAGCAAGTCATCCATAAACACTGTAAATACTGTACATCATGCAGCTTTTGTTTGACCAGTGAGCTAACAAACGCATTCCACAGGATCCCAGTGCTAATGCAAATCTTTAGTATCAAACAGATACCCTGTGAACCTTTCTGCTAAGATTTCTAAAAATAAAATAAAATAAATAAAATCTGTATTTGTGATGCATTCTCTGTTCAATCCAAATAACGTATTCGTTTTGTAATGCAAGCGAAAAAAAGGAATGGTATATTACAAGTGGATTTTATTCTTATGGGGAGTTTTTTTTCCCCATTGAATTTCTGACTTTTACAGGAATAGCTCTTTTGACTTATAGAAACTGTTTTTGTTGTTGTTGTTGTTGACACATTGGAGTAAAAATGGTAACAACAGAAACACAATCATGCAACAACTTGTGTGGCTAAAATCTGAGGCTAAAATGTTACCAACATAACTGGATGACTAGTAAGGCTAGGATTGGCTATATAGCATTTTTCCAAAGATACCTCGTTTGCATTTGGTAAACACCCTTATGAAGAAGTACATGATTACAGACATTATAAGACATTACATTTGACCCTTATACGGGTGAGGTGAGGGTTAAGAGAGATCATGGCTTGGTGCTATTGGGATTTGAACCCACAACCTTATGAGCACTAGTCCAATGCCTTAACCATTGAGCATCCACTACTACAAATCAGCATGCCACTAACTGCTTTAAAAACAACTCTTAAAAGTGGTATAGCAAACATTTCAAATATTATTATGTATGATTATGAAAGAATCATTATTGTTATGGTTTTCTAAAGTTGGAGCTATACAAGATACTGTAACCAGCCATGAGATTGCAACTGGCAAGATTCTGCCAGTCAGGAAAACTTACCATCACGGGTTAGTTGACACTCGGGTAGCTATGCTTATGGATTAAGCCATATGAAATGAAACACAATAGCACAAAAGTTCGACATCTTTTTAATCAGATCTAGTTGGCTGCACATGTGATAGTGCGTACAGATGCCACTGCATGCATGGCTTGATTTGTGCAGATGGTTTAACTGCACAAACACAAGTCAAATTAAAAACAGATGAGACTTTGCAGAAATACTCATTTTTAGATTACGCTTAATTCGTTGATTTTTTGTTTATTTTTTGTTCGAGGCCAGTTTCTCTCTATTATAATCACGCAGCAGGATCTATTCTAGCATTACAGGGGTGATTATACAAAACTGAGAGACAAAAATCCCAGACATTAACAGATTTATCAGTCCCCCCCGCCCCCTTCTCACACACACACACACACCAGGCTGAAGGGTTTCATCTCCACTTGTCCTGGAGCATGATCTGCTCCATGCATATTCATACACAAAGGACACTTCACACAGCAGGATTCTCTCCCTGTCGTCCTCTCTCTCTCTCTCTCTGTAAAAGAGATGAGGGGAGGAGGTGGCACTAGGGCTGGTAAGTGTGCCCACTGTTGCCATGCCAACATCAATGCCATCACCCTGTGTTTTTAACCGCCTACACGACTCTCTTTCTCTCCCTCACTCAGACTGTCCCCTTAGGGAAGAGGAATCCGTTTATGTCCCTTACCTCTTTTTCACCCAACGAGCTCATCTTTCTCACCACTCCCATTAGCTCCTACGCTCAAAAAGAACGATCATGTGATTCGTCCTCTCCTCCTCTCCACCGGCCTTCCCCTGTCATCCGGTCTGTCTGTGCCTAACAAGGCATGCAGTGATCGGCTATATATCTGCTCTCCCACCTCTCCCCTCCCCCCTGGCCCGAATGTGGGTTAATTAGCAATTAGCATGTAGCAGTGCACGAACAGCAGGTTTTGATAAAAAGGGCCAGACGGTATGTGAAAAATATACTCGGACAGAAATAGAGAGCGAGAGCATGATGGAGAGAGGGAGGAAAGTGTGACACCAAAATCAGCATTTATTACAAACCTACACGATGGTGCCAAATGCTTCACATCGTTAACTGTCCTGGATGCTGTCCCACCGAGCTCATACAGCATACAAATGCTGTCCCTGCACTCCTTCTCCCTGTAGTGTATGTGTGTGTGTTAGACATGGCAGAACAAAATTTACTGCTCTAATACTACTCAAATTCTCATAATTGACATGTTCATAGGCTGAAAGTCCGCATTAGAATGTTTAATATTCTACATTAATACATTAAAGTAAAATATTTTAAATTCACAAGTTTTTTTAAATACTTAAAATGAGCGTTGATGTACGAAGGTGGGGCTGAATAATTGCATGCATTCTATATATCGCTCTTTAGTCTCATTAAGTTATTTATATGTCCTAAATATATTATATCTTATAATGATCTACCTCATGCCTCCAGGGTTGGGGATTTGATTCCCGCCTCTGCTCTGTGTGTGTGGAGTTTGTATGTTCTCCCCTTGCTTCGGGGGTTTCCCCGGAGTACTCCGGTTTCCTTCCCCAGTCCAAAGACATGAGCTGTAGGCTGATTGGCATTTCCAGATTGTCCATAGTGTGTGAGTAGCCATGTTAATGTGTGTGCAGTTGTGCCATGCAATGAGCTGACACCCTGTCCGAGTTCCCTGGGATAGGCTCCAGGATCCCAGCGAGCATGTGTAGGATAAGCATCACAGAAAATGGATGGATTTCGAAAAACAAAAACAAAAAGCTAACAAGACCTGTGTTCAATATCCAACATTTACTTAATAGATTCTCTGATTTTTCTGTGCCTGAATCTCAAATATTCATTTATTGGGCATCCACATTGGTACTTGGACTGCCATTAATCTGTATTTTTATTTACTTATTTTTTTTAATCGTTCCCCCCACCACTATGCCCTAGAGACACTGGAAAACACAAAACATTTGGAGCTGCAAATTTTTTAATGAACATATCATAAATAACAATGTGCAGAACATAACTTGAATCAACTCCTGAACCAGATGCCCTGTGGAACTTTCTGGAAAGCTTTCTATCATCTGTCTAATGTGACTCAATAAGCAAGTTGACTATATTTCAAAGGCAAAAATTATTTAAGAATGATGAAACGCATGCACTACGATTGTACAAAATTTGCAATATTTAAAAATAAAATGAATGAAATGATTATGTTTTTGGAGAGCCCTGCAGAGATGTGCAGCTCTGTGCACAGGGTGCGCTCTCGCGTGAACTATACAGATCCACGACTCAGCAGATTTCATTTGTTTAATTTCATTTCTACAGAGAAATCTAGTTTTATTGTGGAGCTCGGTAAGGCAGGCACGCTATAAATGAATAGCTCTTTTTCTCATTAGCATCATGTGACCTTGCTCTTTTTAAGTTCCGTGAGGCAATGATTCTTCAAACCTGAAACCGCTGTTATGTATATAAATATTCTGCCTAATTGTTGTACCTGTATTTGTATTCATTTAGGAGGCATTATCTGAATCAGAATAATGTATTCATATTCAGTTACACTTGTAATATGCAGTAAAAAGCCATTATGTTACACCCTAGATAGGAAGCATATACAGTATATTGACTAGGAAGGTACTTACAGGCTAGTTACAAAATCTAGCTAAAAATAAAATCAGAGTAAACATCACTGTGAGCAAATAAATCAAACTAAATCTAAATTATTAGACTGCTTCTGACAAAATAAATATGTTTATAACAAAATTAAACCATCAGTTTTTGATTTCCTTTGCTTAAGTAAGAAACCTAAGTTTCACTCTCTGTAAACACCATGTGATATGAAGGCATAGTGTACATTAGCATTAAGTGTAACGTTATCCATCTATCCATTTTCCACAACGCTTATCCTACACAAGGTTGTGGGGGAGCCTGGGACCTCATCATCTAGAGTTGACTGTGTAAACAAAGGAAAAACAAAGTGAGGAAGGTGATAAGAGGTCTGTCCATCCATCCATCCATCCATCCATTCATTCATCAATCTATCCATCCGTCCATCTCGGGTACCAACCTATCGGAAGTCACAATGACAAACATTCACACACTATGGACAATTTAGAAATGCCAATCAGCCAACAACACGTGTTTATATTGGGGGAGGAAACCAGAGAACCTGGAGGACACCCCCGAAGCACAGGGGAGAACATGCAAACTCAGGGCAGAGGTGGGATTTAAACCCCCAACCCTGGAGGGCAAGGTCAATGTGCTAATGTAAGGATCCGGCTAGATCCTCACAGGTTGCTCAGGAAAGTTAATATAACTCAGCCGGACACAGAGGGAAAGCACTGTTCTCCGTTTATTACATGAAGGATACCATAGGGTTACGCATGGTTACAGGTCAGTCATTAGAGAGGATTAACCGAGTAAAACACCCCAAAAATGGTACCTTACATGAGACTGCGTGTCAGCACAAAATGTCAAGGTCACAGAGAGAGAGAGAGAGGAGAGCAGGGCGACGACCACGCCCTTTGACCTGACATGACATCATCATAGCCGATCATTACACTAACCACTAAGCCACCATGTCTGACATGTGTTCATTTATAATGAACACATTCAAATATCTTGTAAGTAATCAAAACTTGAATGCATTTTTAAAATAATTAGGACAGTTTCAGTTTACATGAATGAGTGTGCATGATTGTATATGAGTGTGCATGAGTGTGTGTGGGTGTGTATGAGTGTATATGAGTGTGTATGATTGTATAAGACTGTATATGAGTGTGCATGATTGTATATGAGTGTGTGAGTGTGTATGATTGTATATGACTGTATATGAGTGTATATGAGTGTGTATGATTGTATATGAGTGTGTATGATTGTATATGACTGTATATGAGTGTGTATGAGTGTGCATGATTGTATATGAGTGTGTATGAGTGTGTATGAATGTATATAATTGTATTTGAGTGTGTATGAGTGTGTATGATTGTATATGAGTGTGTATGAGTATGTATGATTGTATATAATTGTATTTGAGTGTGTATGAGTGTGTATGATTGTATATGTACTGTATATGAGTGTGTATGATTATACATGATTGTATAGGAGTGTGTATGATTGTATATGAGTGTGTATGAGTGTGTATGATTATACATGATTGTATATGAGTGTGTATGATTGTATATGATTGTATATGAGTGTGTATGAGTGTGTATGATTGTATATGAGTGTGTATGATTGTATATGATTGTATATGAGTGTGTATGATTGTATATGAGTGTGTATGATTGTATATGAGTGTGTATGAGTGTGTATGATTATATATGAGTGTGTATGATTGTATATGAGTGTGTATGATTGTATATGAGTGTGTATGATTGTATATGAGTGTGTATGATTGTATATGATTGTATATGAGTGTGTATGAGTGTGTATGATTGTATATGATTGTATATGAGTGTGTATGAGTGTGTATGATTGTATATGAGTGTGTATGATTATATATGAGTGTGTATGATTGTATATGAGTGTGTATGATTGTATATGAGTGTGTATGATTGTATATGAGTGTGTATGATTGTATATGATTGTATATGAGTGTGTATGAGTGTGTATGATTGTATATGAGTGTGTATGATTATATATGAGTGTGTATGATTGTATATGAGTGTGTATGATTGTATATGAGCGTGTATGATTATATATGAGTGTGTATGATTGTATATGAGTGTGTATGATTGTATATGATTGTATATGAGTGTGTATGATTATATATGAGTGTGTATGATTGTATATGAGTGTGTATGATTGTATATGAGTGTGTATGAGTGTGAGGTTGCTAATGCTGTAATTTAACATCTTTGGTAATCATTCATCACAAAATACAAAGTTCTTCCAAAGGCATATATAAAATTGACTGATCTGCATATTTTGCCTTTAAACCAGAAATGGAACACACACACACACACACACACACACACACACACACACACACACACACACACACACACACACACACACACACACACACACATATCAGTTAGAAGATTCAATCAGTTGTGTCAGTCACTTACTAGCATCGACCACTGGCAAGACACCAGGCTTGTTGTTGACAGTGTTTACGTCTGCTTAGAAGAAATCATTGTGTGTGTGTGTGTGTGTGTAGTTCCTTCAACTTAGCAGAATGAAGGCTTGTGGGACTGGGTGTCAGTAACAAATGGAGGTTTGGGACCTAACTACATGGTAAGTGCAGACTCATTAATCACAGTGTGTAGAGTTTTGACCTGTTCTCTTTCATGTAAATGCAAGAAAGCAAAGCTCACAGGTCATTTGCTGTACACTGTAAGTGCAGTGCTTTCCTCTGATTGACCTTTTCCTCTTCACACACAGCAAATTGCAATTTACTGTAATATACGTCCAGCATTTTTCACACCAGTAACCAATCAAATCAAACATTTATGGCAGTGTGGATTCCTGTGGCTTTATTATTGGATATTTGAAGAGCGGTTATTTCAAGTAAACTGCGTGTGTGTGTGTGCATGTGTGGTAGACTAAATTACACCAATTACTGCTCATAATACAGTCTGCATTGTCGTATAATCCTGATTTCATGTCACATTAAGTGCACAGGAAAGGCTTTTATTGCTCTTTTTTGTTGCCTTTAGCCCTAATTGCACTGGCTAATTAGAGTTTATGGTGCATATTAGAGTGGATAAGTATTGCATGGCTGGATGACTTTGATTCGTGCAAGCGTAAAATCAGTTCAAATCACTTCAAATTCAGGTGGGATTATAATTATTCTGCTGGATCACAGCTCACATAAAAGCGGGACCAGGAAAAAAAAAAGAAGCTGAATGATAGCATGCTTTTTTCCCCAGTCATTATCAGTGTACTAAGTCAGCTTTGGTGAGGGTGTATAGCTGGCGCAGAAATGGTTTGTGTTGAGTGTTGAGTTAAGACTAAATTAAAATCGTCTGATTGTGTTTAATATGTCTTAAAGGCTTGAGAGTCCCACCGCTCCCGCAATCACTCTCTCTCTCTCTCTTCTCTCTCTCTCTCTCTCTCTCTCTCTCCCCCTCTCTCTCTCGGTGTGTGTGATTTACAAAATATAAAAACATTCACACTTTAGTTCTTATTCACACTCTAGTTCTTTTTATTCTGTCACATTTGGCTCGAAAAACAAATGCTCATGATTATCTTTTTTTTTTTTTTTTTTGCGTTTTTGGTGTTATGTTCATGAGTCATCTCTTGCTGTCTGTCTCTCCTTCTCATTTCTCATTATGTGTCCTTTTTCTTTATCTGTCTGTCATTTCCTTATACACTCTCTCCTTCTTCCTGTCCCTTTAACTAGTCACCTTCTCTCCATCCATCCTTCTCTCATGAAATTACAAAGGCATTGATGGATGACAGGTGTCAGAGTTTTATCTGCAGCAGCACAGTGTGTGTGTGTGTGTGTGTGTTTGTGTGTGTGTGTAAAACCGAGAGATGGAGAAGTTGAAAGTGAGTTGGAAGAGTGGAACAGAGATGTGTAAAAATAGAGCTGAGAATTTCTCCCAAGCAGATGCATTCTTGTGATTAATTATGCATGACCTTTAGGAAATCCACATGGCCAGTACTTTTGAGATCCACCCTTATGGGAAAAAAATCACATACCGTTCACATGTGATCATGGATTCTTAATGTGATTAAGTAAATGATATGATGGCTGTTTCTCAGGTAGTAGAGCGAGTTGTCCACTGATCATAGGGTTTGTGGTTTGATTCCCGGCCCACATGACTCCTCATGTTGAAGTGTCCTTGGGCAAGACGCTGAACCCCAAGTTGCTCCTGATGGCAAGTTAGCGCCTTGCATGGCAGCTCTGCTACCATAGGTGTGCGAGTGTGTGTGTGAATGAGACAGTGTAAAGCGCTTTGGAACAGCTAAGGTTAAAAAACGCACTATAAGAGTGCAGACCATATCAAACTTGCATTTCAAACTATGGCAAAAACATCCATTTCAGACATCCATCCAACATCTGTACTGATTATCCTGCACAGGGTTGCAGGGAGCCTGGAGCCTGTCTGAGGGCACAAGACACCCTGGGGTGCCAACCCATCGCAGGGTACAATCGCACACATATTCACACACTACTGACAATTTAAAAATGCCATTCAGCCTCCTTTAAATGTCTTTGCACTGGCGGAGGAAACCAGAGTAACCCCCCAAAGCACAGAGAGAACATGCAAACTCCACACACACGGGGCAAAGGCAGGATTTGAACCCCCAACCCTGGAGGTGTGAGGCACCAGTGCTAACTACTAAGCCACCACGCCCTCCCCATTTCAAACATGCAAAGATGCACTTCATCCTGAAATAGCACTCATGATATCATGTGAACATGATCGTGTGATCATATGAGAAAAATAATAATAATTATAATTATTCATCAGATGAAATGTGCTCTACACATGAAGCATGTGTCATGCACAAAAAAAGCCTATGTAAAAATGAATCCACATGCACTTGAATCCAATGAGCACCACATGTGAAATATCTTTAAACCATGCATGGATCATGTGCCTTTTCTGTAAGGGGAAAAGCTGAGCTAGCATAACAGCTTGAAACTTAGAGTTAGATGAATTTTATAGTAATGATGAAGGAGTTGAGTTTGAGGCGGGCAGAATAAAGTCTTGCCTGAGCAAGTACGGTAAGTGGCTTCTTAACTAATGATTTGAATGTACTTGACCTGACCTTCCATCATTTCAATTTTCCTTCTCACAGATGAAGAATTTCTAGGTACAATTAAATATGAGAGGAAATAAAATAAGAATTAAAGGGTAATCAGAGGTGACTGAATTGTTGAGGAGATTGATGACCCGTCCTGCTCGTGGTTCCATGTATTACTTGGCACCTTGTTGCAAATTAGGCTTGTTCAAAAGAGTGTAAAATTTGCAAATTCACTACTGCTTATAACACTCTTGAGAACTAGCACTTACTCCAGCCCTCTATTCTTCCTCTAACTATCTGGCTCACAGTTACAGTCAATTATATTTTTTTAGAAACTTCCAGCACTTGCATTACTGTCAACGCCTTTCAGAGCTCTGTGCGTGCTTTAAATTCTGCTTCACTTGTTAATCGCTTTTGACAAAAAGTGTCTACCAAATGAATAAATGTAAATGCAATTTAATTAACCTTATTATAGAAAAAAAAAACATGTTTTGCAGAAAGTTGTCAGTTTGTTCTAAGGTCAGTGATCAGGTGTGTGCAGTGAAGCATTGCAACTTGCTGAAAGGTGGCTGGGTTACTTTTACGTAATGAGGTCTGAGTAGAACAATCCCTAATCAGGGCAACTTTTAAAAGGAGGACTGTGCAAGAAAATGGCCACATTTAGCCAGTTTTCTGCTCTTGGTAATGTCTCGAATGTCAAGAGAAGTATCTTGGGTTTAAAGAGAACATTCTGGATAACTGTTTGATTCTATTTGTGTCTACTGAATTATAACCCCATACAATACTGGGACATATTACAGTAGATGCCAAAATCAGGAAAATGACCAGCTTCATGATCAGACACTTTTACAGAAAAAGGACAAAATCCAACAAACTGCACATTGAGATTCTACATACATAGTTGTTATTATTTTCCCACGGCATGGTTTAGTGGTTAGCATGTTGCCTCTCACCTCCAGAGTTGGGCCTTCGATTCCCACCTCTGTACTTTGTGTGCAGAGTGTGCATGTTCTCCCTGTGCTTCGGGGATTTCCTCCGTGTATTCTGGTACATGTCTCTGGAATTTTACTAGAGGGATGAACTTCATTCTTCCAAAAGATATTCAATAAATTGCTGTGTTGCGTCAAACGCTTTCTAACACATCGGTCCAAAATCTCCATTAGGAGTTCAGTTCGATTAAAATCTGTTGACTGAATGGTTTGGGGATGAAAATGATTGAAATTATATGCTGCAGCCTTCAGTCAGTCCTCAGAGACCACTCCCATCAGAATAGAATTGCTTCACCAATTCATCAGGATCTCCCAAAGGGGACAAGCATTTGGAGAGAGAGAGAGAGAGAGAGAGAGAGAGAGAGAGAGACGTTGATTTTTCCTTTAATTTGTCACCTTGTGTGTATATACTGCACTCATACACAGTATTCAACAAAATACATTTTGATTGTGGAACGTTCTCTATGCCACCTTATATCACACTGCACACTATTCTACTCACTATTTACAAGCATGAGAACTGTTTTCACACCACTGTCAATCTGTTTAACTGCTTTGCTCTGTCAGCTTGGACCTTTCATTCTATACATACAACCTGCTACAGAAGTTAAGCAGAGGCTGAGAAATGAAATGCGAGTTGGTTGCTCGCTCTTCCCAATTCTCCATCACAGATTCACTCGGCTCATAAGAGAATCAGAAAAATCATTTTCCCCATTGACCTTGAACACCAAATCAACATAAATATCAGTTAAACTGGCACTGACAGGGTCCAATTAGTGCTATCAGTGTGCGACACACCACTCAAACTTCACCCCACATCTTTCAATGACTGACAGTCAATGCGTTAGGGCATTTAAACAACACCTCCTGATGGCGATGCCCTTTTTTGGCTCTTTATCTTTATAGCTAAACATCCAAGAGAAAGATTAAAGCTGTGTGTGTGTGTGTGTGTGTGTGTGTGTGTGTGTGTGTGTGCGTATGTGCAAGATTTAATGCACAGGAGACAGCTAGCCCACAGTAGTCACAGGGCACTGCGAAAATGCCGGTAAAATAGCACTGTAATTGAAAAGCAGCAACCAGTTTTGCACGGCACTCGTTTACTTTCCACCACAGTATTCGCCTTTACCCAGGAGTCGCTTTTGTTCCCTACAGCATGTACACAAAATCACTGCAGTTTATATGAGTCTACAGAGGTCATACAAGTATATTCTTCCCACTGTGGAACTGCACAAAACAGCTTTCTGTTACATGGTGTTGACTGGCTGTGCTGGAGAACACTGTGAGCCTGCTAAGGGATGGTTTTGTTTGTGTGTGTGTGTGTTTGTGTGTGTGTGTGTGTGTGCTGGCATGGGGTGGTAGTTGAGTGTACAGTGCAGTGATTTCCAACACAGAAGGAAGTGTGCGGTGGCAAATACTGGACAGGGGATTGCTAAGTGGAGAAAGTTGTACTGACACGACATTAAAAACTTGGCTTAAAATGCACACACACACACACACACACACACACACACACACACACCTCAAAAATGTACTTAAAAGCAAACAAACTTAGAATGCTAATAATTCCCAATCAAAATAATATAATGCACATAATTATTCATTACAGTGGGATTGCCACACTTTATTTCCCCCTGGTTCATGCCTAACATTCAACAAAAACAAATAGGGGTAACATGACTAAGGAAAAGGACAGAAGAGGAGGGAAAAAAAACGAGGATGTGAAAAGAGGTGTGCTTTTTTTATTCTGGCAGTGCAGATCAATACACCAAGGATGAAGAGGACAAAAGTTGCTTTAGCTGATCACTTCTCAGGTGACTTATAGCTTCGGAGAGTGGTAGAAAGGCCAAGAGAGAGTGAAAGAGAAGATTGGTGTGTGTGTGTGTGCATGTGAGAGAGAGAGAGAGAGAGAGAGAGAGAGAGAGAGAGAATATGAAAGCAAGAGACAGTGGAGAGTGAGGGAGCAGAGAAAAGAGAGAAAGAGCAGAGGAGGGAGGGTTTTGTTGTCTTAAGCAATGTTAAATTGCTTCACGTTACCCCAAAGGCAGATGGAAGGAAGAAGCTGTGTGCGATAAGGAGTGTATTGTATGGAACAATTCAGTGATAGTGTGAAAGAGATTAGATAGAAGACGAGGGAAAAAGTCTTGGGAGGGCACAGTATCAATGCAAAATCAAGCATAACACAAATAGATGGGTTCGGACAAAGCAACTACCTGGGTGTGCGGCACTACGGTCAGCTTATACTTGTTTCCTTTTCTTTCTCTCTAACCTTGCCTATTAATATGTACTTACTTATAGTAATATCTTATATGGCAATAGGCTTATTAATGAGTCTTGCTATTGTGGTTTAAACATACAGTCTATTAAACTGAAATCTGAAATTCAATAACAATGTAATATTACCAAATTTCTTTACTGAAGAAAAGTAGCACTGTGTTATATATATATTATATATATATATATATATATATATATATATATATATATATATATATATATATATATATATATATATATATATATATATCAAGATCTTTCGGCAAAGACACTTTGCTTTTGTTTGCTGCTTTCTTAACAGCACCTACCTCATTGCACACAGTAAGCGTTAAGTGATAATGAATTACAGAATTAGCTAGATGTGTTAAAGCAGCATACAATGGTCAACATATTTTGTTGTGAGTTGCCTCTTTCATCTTGGAAGGATCTTGCCTCCATGACTCAGAGCACATTACAGAGGGTTCATTCTGAAATTGCTTTAGCTAAACTGTATTATGGGCTTTGGATGTGAGCAGCAAACCTATATTAGAAAGAACAGCATAACCATGCCACAATCTTCTTACTCTTGACTTACAGACTCAAAGTCTTTCTGTAGGCAAAAACAGTAAAGTACTGCAACTCATATCCATAGCCATAAGGCCATATTTTCAAATCCTTACAAGGCATAAAGATAATAGTTGTCAGGTAGGGTTTATACAACTGCAAAGAGATATTTGGTGTATGGATCTGTGGTACAGTGATACAAAGTGGTTCAGTGGTGGAGAGAGGATCGGGCATTGGAGGGGCCGGTTGCATTGTCTGTCTGGGTTCTGGGGTTGTGGTTAAGTCACTTTTGTCACCACCGATGTTTGTATATTTCAGAAGGGGTTCATGTTTCAAATATAGCTACTGATGACTTTGTGCTATGCAGGAATTTCATGCACTATAAACCACATATTGAGAACTTAATGTATATAAGTACTTTTCTGCACTGCAGCAAGAATTGTACACAGTGTGAAACTAATGATAAACATGCATTATCACCCATATTGTATTAGAGGTCTGGTAAGAAAAATAAAGACTGCCATTTCTAGTAGCTTATGTTACATAAGGGGACAAATTTAGGATCTGGTAGATAAATACTTTTCTTTCTCTTTTTCTCTAGGTCTGTGGATTAACCCCCCCTTCTACCATGCAAGCCTCCCCACCCCATCAATCTGAAAAATCATACCCATCCCTCATTTTACATCACCATCCAAGTAAAACACCCTCCTCCTCTTCTCTCTCCTTTCATCGATCAACCCATTCTTACCCATCCATCCTTAAGCCAACACACAAACTCTTACCATCAGATACACCTCTGT